TAGACTTGCCCATGAATTCTCCAGTACTGACCACTGTGGATTCAGCTGCCCACCTATAGCAGGTGCACCGGCAATCTACCAAAGAAGCCTACAAACATCACATGGACCAGGCCGAATCTGGCTGTAGGAGACAAGGTGTAGCTCTCTGCCCATAACCTTAAATCGAGCTGCCCATCTGCCAAACTGGACTGTCAATATCTGAATCCTTTCAAGATTATATAACAGGTGAACCCAGTGGCCTTCTGGTTACAGCTGTCTGAATCCTTGAAGATCCACCCATCTTTCACATCTCACTTTTAAAGAACTACACTGAGAACTTATACCCAAACTGCTCCAATCCTCCACTGCCACCCATAACAGTCCGTGGACAGGAGGAGTACTTGGTCCTCTGAGTCCTTGACTCTTGGCAAATTAGGGGAAGATTCTGGTACATGGTGGACTCGGAAGGATGCAGTCCGGATGAGTGGTCTTGGGAACCAGTACAGAACATCCACACGCTGGACCTGTTCTGAAAGTTCTGCTGGAGGTACCCCAAGAAACCGGGCCCCAAGGCCACTAAGTGTTGTCCTTGAGGGCTTGCAGCAGGGTCAGTCTGAAAGCAGGGCCTGCAGCAGAACCAGTCTCCAGGCAACCAAATTAGCATAACTGGCCTGTAGTAGGCTGTCTGATTGGGTATGCCACCTAATTGGTTGGAAAAATCAACAGACTGGCTCTTAATCCCAGCAGCAGCAGTTCAGCGGCTGTTCAAAGCATTCACCCATGGCTGCGATTGCTTGTGCTTGTTCCCAGTCTTGCTCCCGCTTTGTTCCAACCCTACCCCTGCCTTGCCTCATTGCAGCCTCAGATTTGAAGCTTGGCTCTGATTCCTGACCAATGACTTCAACTCTGATCCTTGGCTCTGACATCTGGCCTTTGATTCCAGCTCCAATCCTTAGCTCCTATTCATGGTTACTGGCTTCTGCTCCAACTCTGACTCTTGGCCTCTAATTCCAGCTCTGATCCTTGGCTCCTAATCCTGACTCCTATTCCAACTGCTAAGTATGACTCCTGCTCCAACCTCTAGGGACAACTGCTCACATCCTGGTCTCTGACAATACCAAGTGTAGAGCAAACAACTGATAGAATGTAATCCTTATCTTCCATGCAAGCAGCTGCAGTGTGGTTATTATAATGCTAAAAAACCATCAAGAATACCTCGTTGACCATTTTCCTCAATGTTTTAAGATATTGCTTTGATATTGCATGTGAACTTACATAAATAGGTCTCTGACCACGATGGTCAGACTCATTCAGCTTGCAAGCAAAAGTTCACATATTTAGAGAACACTGTAGAACACAAGCAAAGCAATGTACATTTTAAAACAAAAATAGATTGCCAGGTTTCACCACTGACTATACTGCGTTTTTTTTAATTAGGAGATACAAAATTCACCAATGTCCTAGTGCACTGGGATACAACTCTTCTTAAATTAACATTTTTTAAAAATGTTACTCAGGTAACCCTGTCATTTGACTACATTGCACATGGAGCAGCAGCACAAACACACGTCAAACATATAATCAAACCACCAACATAAAAAAACATGCTGCCAATTATGAAGCTCACTTAATACTGTATTTCAGTCCTAAGGGCACTACCTTACAGTATCTAAGGGCATGTCTACACTTGCCATTTAAAGAGGAAAAAGTCCCTTTTTTGCGCAAAAACCGTGGGAACGTCTACACTTATTAATGACTTTTTGCAGTGAAACTCAGACGTTTCACTGCAAAAAGAAAACCACCTCCATGAGAAGCGTACAGCTTTTACCGGTGATGCTTTTGCGGTGATGTGCTAGTGAAGACATGTTCTTCCTGTTTACACAGCTTTTAGCCTCCTGAGGATATCCCACAGTGCCTCGATGACCACTCTGGCCAGCAGCTCTGCTGCTCTGATGCCAGGTAAACAGACGTCCACCCCTCCCCCTGTAAAGCCCCGGGAACTTTGAAACTCCCCTTCCTGTTTCTTTGGCAAGTGCTAACTTATCATCTGGCCAGGTGACAATGCCTGCTCCATGAAGCAAACGATCCCCTGCTTGGAACAATGCTGAGCTGCTGGAGCTGATCAGTGTTTGGGGAGAGGAGGCTGTGCAGGGACCGAGGATGCCCCACGATCACCCCCCACCCTTCCCACAAGGCCCATCGTCAAAATGGAGAGAGCTGAACTGTGGGATAGCTGCCCTCAGAGTGCGCTCTTATCAGCGATGGAAGTGCTGCTAATGTAAACACTCTCTGATGCCTGAGGAATTAAGTGAGTACACAAACCAGCACTTTACTTTCACCAATTCCTTATCACTGGTGAAACTTACAGCGCAAAAACTCTGCAAGCGTAGACATATCCTAACTGATAGTTGTATATTGGCCCAGTTGAGTCTGTATTTAACACACTATACATGATTCTAAGCTGCTCAGTTCTGCCATGAGATGTTGAGGGAAGTGAAAATGAATAATAAGTGGGTGTGGAATGGCTCCTGAAATAGCAGAAGCTTGGGAGTGGACCCAACATGGCATACTTCTCCCCATACTTCCCCCTCCACAAGAGCCGGGTAAAACCCATCTATGTAGCCACCATGCAACTGCAAATCTGGGGCAATGGGGAGCAAACACGCTGTCTTTCTGACCAAGCAAAATACTTCAGGAAAGCCTTCTTGCTCAGGCAGCCAGTGGAACCAGGGCTCCTCTGCCAATAATGCTGCTGAGATGTGGGTTTAGTGGAGAACTGCCAAGAGGCACGCACCCTCCTCACACATGCCACGTAGATCTGAGCAGAACCCCAAAGAGCAGAGTTTCCAAAAGATGATTGAGCTATACTGGTTTAAAAGGCCGTGGCTCTCTTATCCCCATGCCATAAGCTTCTCCCTACAGAGGGGAGACTGTCATTCTCAGAGGCTTGAATGCTGCAGAGCTTTCTATCTTCCTTCCCCTTCCTCTGGGGGAGGAGGGCATCAAGACAGCAGAGTTTAAGATCCCAGACATTGATAAAATAAAACAGTTCAGTTTTTCCAAATGTGGTGCCTCACTATCACAACACTAATTAGAATTTATTACTTTTTCTGTAAAACGGATGCCTGTACTCTTTAGCATCAAGGAAGGGAGAGAAAGAGAGCGAGAGACACCTCAGTGGATTAGAGTTCTACTTTGAGACACTTCTGTGTTCAAACTCAGGAGAGAGCACAAATGAGAATCACTTTAGTTCTCCACCATGAGCCCTACTGGACATTTGTCCCCATGGCTAAACACCTGTACAATCCAACACATATAGCAATCTCTCTGAAGACCAGAACTGAAATAACTGTGTGTTAAACATCAATAATGAAGAGCATTAGCAAGCTGTGTGGAGAAGCTTACACTGTACTTGTGTAACACCGACAGACCCCGGTTGTCAGCGGGCGGGACTGAACCTGGTGCCTCTGGAACTTAGTGCATGAGCCTCTACTTCATGAGTTAAAAGCCAACTGGCTCTTAGCTAAGGCTGTAGGGCAGACCATTAATCTCTAAGTGGTCTCAGCAGTACTGGTTTACAATGGCTCCGGTGGTGCTGTGGCACCAGGCCACACTTGGAAGGGGCCTACATTTGGAAGGGTTAATCCAGCCTGGGCCAAAGCCCAGCAACGTGAAGAGTCAGCAATTTCCCAGCACCAGCTGAAACACTCAGCAGCCTGGGGTGTGCAGTGCGCAGGTGCAACAGGGACTGGGTGTTGCAGGGTAGTTTGCACGCCGCTGTGTTCCGCTGGGGCCCTGGGACCTGCGCTGTCAGCTGTGCTACTAGTCCCAGAACGCCCTGCACCGTGTTGCCAGCTGCCCCAGCTGAAGTGGGCGGAGCGGTCCAAAAAGAAATCCCAAGCGAGGAAATGGTCTGGTGCAGGGAAAGGATTCCCGGCGCTAATCCCGCTGCGTCCTCCCTCCCACTTGGGGCACGGGTTGGGAGCTCCTGGCTTCCTCCACCTCCAAGTCTCCCCCATTCTCCTGGGGGCGGCTGCTGTGCTGTGACTCCCGGGTGGTGTGCAGACCCCCAGCGACTGTGATGCCCGGAGGCTCCTGGGCACTGTCTCAACCTGAAACTTCAGGGTGGGGGGTGGTGGCTTGTGGTCCCTGGGAGCAGGGTGGGTGACAGCGGGGTTTGTCAGTGCTGGCTGCTGTGCCCCCTGCCAGTGGGAATGCCCAGAAACTGGCCCCCTGCAATCGGGGAGGGGAGAAGGTGCAGCGTGGTTTGGGGGGAAAGGGGTAGCTGTGGGGCAAGTCCGAGTGCGATGGGGGAGCTGGCGGTGACTCCGTGTGGGGTGGTGTAGGAGAAACAGGGTGTTAAGGTGGGGGTTGGTGTGACAGGGGGCAGAGGGAGGGAGGGGAGAGTCTGGGTTGAAGGTGGGGGTTGGCTCAGTGTGTGGAGGGGGTAGTAGAAGGGAGGAAGGTGACAGCCCTGGGGTGAAAGTGTGTGTGGGGGGGTGAGCAGTAGCAGGGAGATTGAGGAGAGCCTTTCTTTGGGGGTTAGTTGTGTGGGGTGGGAACAGTAGGAGAGACTGGGGGGTGAGGAGAGCCCAGGCGTGACGGTTGGGGTAGGAGCCTGAGGCTGGATTGTGGTAGCCTTTGTGGTAAAGTGTGTGTGTGTGTCTCAGTGGCCCTTTCTCCCTGCAAAAGATGGGCACCAGCAATTTTCCTCATATGTCATGCCGGGCCCACACTTGGAAGGGGCCCATCACAACCACATGGGGGCCCACAAATATGTTTGGCACTGGGCCCACAAAAGGTTAATCCGGCCCTGGGTCTCAGTGCCACTAGAGGGGACAGAACACCACACTCAGAAGGTGTGTGTGTTACACTTGCCCAGCATTCCTCATGCTATAAGTGCCAATGTCACACACATTTAATTACAAAAACCCAACAACATTTTTTGGGTTCATATCCATTCTTGATTTCTTCTTCTCTTCCCCGTGATAAAAAACAACGCAGAAAACAAGCAGACTTACATTAAATTCTTCCCGAAACCGTTTCCCATCATCTGCTGATCTTATCCGTATTTCTTCCTCCAGATGCTCCACTGGAATAGGAAAGTACTTCTTTGGGCCAGAGGGAGACCTGCTGAGCAGCATCACCCTTTGCTGTTCTGTCAAACCAGAGAAAACAAATGTTAAATGTATACTCAGAATGAGGGACCACTTGTTATTCCATTAATCAAATGATGAGCCAATCAGTTTTGTGAAACACCTTGGAAAAAGGCACAGCATGCCTCTTATGAAACGTGAATCAAACTAGTGAGACAAGGTGGGTGAGGTAATATCTCTTATTGGGCAAACGTCCTGAGACGGACATGGCTACAACTCTACTGCAGTCAAACTCATGACAGAGTTGATTTCCATAAAAATAACAAGCCGAGTGATTTCTCTGAACACACACTGGATTAAAACAATGCCAGAAGCCTGTGTCCTAATGTTAATAATTAGAGTTTCTGACTTTAATTTGTAACAGAATAAAAATGTGATGAAACATCATTTGGAGAGGCAAGAGGGTCTATCAGTTCCTCACACTCACTGGGAAGTGTAGGGATTGGAGGGGAAATTTTTTTAAGATACTTAATTTAAGGGAAATAATTTGTAAATCTATTTTACAAATGGTTGTATTTCTCCAAATAAGCCACAATTTGCCAGACACCAGAAACGCTGTAATATTTACAATAACTACAATTAGGTAAATGTTTTGCTCTCAATAAACTGCTTTAAGAAGGTAACAAATTCATGAGACTTGTTTGAAGCATTCCTATTGCATCTGTATCCAAAAGTATAGGAATCATCAGTACTTTAATTTAGTTTCTGTCCCAAAACAGTGGAAAACAATATTTGCGCCATGCAGACAGTAGTCCACATTTAAACAGGACCTGAATTTTGAAAGTATACTTTTTCATCTGCAATTCATTGTAGGCACCAATACATACCTGCAAAAATGCAAACACGTGGTCTGGTCTTTCTGCACCAAGCATAGATCAAGAAGCAAATGGAGTTCAGTCCCCGGGTTGCCATACCAGTCCCAAGTTGCTGGCTGCTCTGAGGCTATGTCTACACTACTGCAGTAAATCGACCTAAGCTACGCAACTCCAGCTATGTGAATAACGTAGCTGCAGTTGATGTAGCTTAGGTCAACTTATTGCGGAGTCCACACTATGCTGGGTCGACGGGAGACACTCTCCTGCCTACTTAACTTACTCTTCTCATTCGGAGTGGAGTACCAGGGTCAACTGGACAACTGGAGAGCAATCTGCGGTCGATTTGACAGGTCATCATTAGACCCGCTAAATCGACTCCGGTGCATCAATCCAGGGGGTAGTGTAGACATAGCCAGTTGTGCCAGAGGCCCACAGCTAAAGTGGCTGTTCTAGCAGACAAGGATAGCTGGAGCACAAGGTGCTCCAGCATGCTTCTTTTACAGCAATGATGTCCCCTATGGGATGATTTCGTGTAGCACCTGACACCCAGGAGTTCCCCTGCACCAGCTGGCTAGATCTGCTAGCTTTATGACAATTGTGCACTGGTAAACCGGTTAGAAAATTAGACAACATATTCAGTGTGCAAACATATTGCATTTTAAAACAACAGTGAAGTTGAAGAGTTTTGAAATCATGATAGAGGAAGTTTCCCTGAGACTAGCAGCTTTGTTTAAAAGAAAAACAAAACACTTCCCTAGAAACAGACAGTGACAACGCTTCTTTCAGGAACCATGCTGCCTAATAGTTCATGTATAGCCATTCTACAGAGTAACAGCGTTCTGCTTGCTGGCTAGTGTATCTCAATACATTGGAAACATCAATGCTCTTTTAACTGATGTTAGGAAATTTGACACTGAACAGGAAGTTACACTCATTTGATTATATTTAGAACTGTGAATAAACAATTTTTCAGTTTGCACATCGTAACACGAAAGCCACAGAAAATGCAGGTAATTCTCCCTTGTGATTACTTTTTTCCTTTTCTTTTAATTGTTTACCCCTTCGTCGTTATGACATGAGTAATATATGGATGACCTATAATTCCCCAACAACTTTGCCATCTTTTAATCTTTATTGTGCTTGATGTTCCAAATCTACTCTAATTTGATATGCTCTTAATAAAAACAACATCTGAAAATCTATTGGTGAATATTTTCAATTTCTGAACTGCATCTTTTTTAAAAAATGCTATTGTCTCCCTTCCCTCTCATCCCCCTTTTACTTTTTAATCTGGTCATAGAGTTACAGAGTAGTTCTTCATACTCTTTTTGTTTGTTTGTTTTTTTAACACAAATGTTTCAATCCTTTTTTTCTTAAACTGAAAACTGGTGCAGATAACTCCACTGTCATGAGGAATCCTTCATTAACAAACCAGTTATGGAGAATTGCCACGTAGAAACAAAATCTGGTAAAATTACAACTTTAAGTTGTAAATTATTAAACAGCAAGGAGAAGACAGAGAGAGTTATTTGAAAAAGAAGGAAAGTTTTCTCCTTTGTTTTCTTTTAAATAAATAAAGCCAGCACTAAAACAATACAATAAAAAGATACAAGTCATCCTCAAAGTTTAAAGAACTGAATTCTTAACTTTCAAAAGTAAAGTGTGTGTACACACACACACACACACTAAAATTCATTCTAAAAAACAAAGATAACATGTCATTACCTTGCTCTTCTAAGATTCCATTTGGCATCTTTTTGTCACTGGAGGTCACAACAGCTTTCCTATGTTTTCTGAACCTTAAATACACAAAACTAAATTAATCTGAATAATTGTGTTTAAAAGGTAACAAATGCTCTTCCAGATTAACTTGTACAAACCATGTAATTCTGGAGAAATTCTTTCTGTTCATCTTCAGATGGTAATGATTAATGATTAAATACAACATATGGCATCCTCTGCTACCCTAAACTGTGGTCTGAGACTTCAGTTACCGCATATATGTAGAACCGCTTTCATTTCCTTATGAGATCATATCAAAATACGACCAATCTAGTTCTGAGTGCAGCACTTAACAGTTCCGTACCTGAAAAAATAGCCAGCCAGAAGAATGAAAATGATGAACACAAGAAGCAGGATCAACATTGAAGTCAGTAGTTGCTGGTGTGACCTGTTCTTTCCTGGTGACTCTATAAATTAAAAAAACACCAAGAGTGACAGGTTGTTGTGATGGAATTCTTAGTGTAGCAAAGATAAAATTGGACAAACATACCTAATACTTACAAAAACTGATTTATATGCACTGTACAGTTTCCAAAAGGCCTACCTCTAGGGCCAAAGTTCCCATGGAACGTAGATTTGGTGGCTGTGTGTGGTCTTCTGATTGTATCAATTTGTTAAAAACATCAACAGTGCTTTTTAGTAAATAAATGCAAAGCTGAAACCCCCAATTAAGGGAACATATTTTTAAAATCTGTGCTACCAACTGTCAGCTCTTGAATATGGTGTGTGAGATAATATCTTTTATTTGACCAGCTTCTGTTGGTGAGAGAGAGAGAGACAAGCTTTCTAGCTACACAGAGCTCTTCCTCAGTTCTTGGACAGAGTAGCAGCCATGTTAGTCTGTATCCACAAAAAGAACAGAAGTACTTGTGGCACCTTAGAGACTAACAAATTTCTGAGAGCATAAGCTTTCGTGGGCTACATCCCACTTCATCGGATGCATAGAATGGAACGTATAGTAAGAAGATATATATATACACACATACAGAGAAGGTGGAAGTTGCCATACAAACTGTAAGAGGCTAATTAATTAAGATGAGCTTTTATCAGCAGGAGAAAAAAACTTTTGTAGTGATAACCAAGATGGCCCTTTAGACAGTTGACAAGAAGGTGTGAGGATACTTAACATGGGGAAATAGATTAATTAATTAGCCTCTTACAGTTTGTATGGCAACTTCCACCTTCTCTGTATGTGTGTGTGTGTGTGTGTGTGTGTGTATACATCTTCTTTCTACATGTTCCATTCTACGCAGCCGATGAAGTGGGCTGTATCCCACGAAAGCTTATGCTCTAATAAATTTGTTAGTACTCCAGTTCTTGGGCAGGTATTCTGAGTGTCACAGCTAAACACAAGATCAAACAGGTAGTTTAGCATACTTACAGGTTTCAGAGTAGCAGCCGTGTTAGTCCGTATCCGCAAAAAGAAAAGGAGGACTTGTGGCACCTTAGAGACTAACAAATTTATTTGTGCATAAGCATCCGATGAAGTGAGCTGTAGCTCAGGAAAGCTTATGCTCAAATAAATTTGTTAGTCTCTAAGGTGCCACAAGTCCTCCTTTTCTTTTAGCATACTTAGCACATATTCTAAAGGACCATTCAAGCTGAAGTGGCCTGTAAACACCCCTGTAGTCCAAAGGACAAAAAGGGGTTGAGAGTGGTTACAGATTGTTAAAATAAGCTATAAATCCAGTATCTTAATTAAGATCATGATTTTTAGTATCAAGAAAAGTTATGAATTTAAGCTTCCAAGCTCATCTTCTGAAAGTGTTGTGCACGTTTCCATTGAGGATGAGGACTGAGAGGTCCAATATAGAGTGATCGCTATGTGAAAAAAGTGTTCACCCAGAGGTGATGTGGTGTTTTTATCTTTTATTTTCCTGTGTGAGTTCATTCAAGAGTATAGCAACTGTCTGGTTTCACCCATATAACTGTTACTGGGGCATTTTGTGCACTGGATGAGGTATACCACATGTTGTGATAGGCATGTGTAGGATCTTGACAGGCACATTCTGGGGGTGTTGATCATTGTAGCAGTGGAGATATGTCTGTAGGTTTTGCATCTGTTGTTCATTACATTATACTTAGTATTTTCCTAAAGGGATATTAGAAAAATTGTATCTGATCAATGGACCTGTAAGAATATAACTACTTATGCTAAACTATTTGTTTGACCTTGTATTTAGTTGTGACATTCTGAGTACCTTTCCCAGACTTGAGGAAGAGTTCTAGGTAGCTCAAAAGTCTCTCTCACCAGTAGAAGTTGGTCCAATAAAAGATATTACCTCACCCACCTTCTCTAATATCCTAGGACCAACATGGCTACAACATTGCATATAGCTCTTTAATATGTCATATATACTTGTGGGAGCAACTGAGAGCATTGCAAAGTTAATTAACATAAATGTAAAGACCTGGTGAATGAGAAAGCATATTCTCCCTTCCCCCACAGTATAAATTTACCAGGCTAAGATGTTTGGTGCAAGATTTTAGAATGATATTCAAAGGTTCCAGGCATTAGACTGACATATAATTTCTTGTTTGGCTGTTTTTTCAGGTGGCTAGTTGCTGGTTTGTAATGCTCCTAATGTGCAATGTACAGAGCACTGGATACGTGGGGAGGGGCAAGAATTCTAGTGAAGTCTAGTATGCCGATTTATACTAGGTGAGGATCTGGTGAAGAATATTTACTCTATGCAACAGCTGTAACACAGCATAAGAAGTGCTCTTTTGGTACATATCTGGGTATGCACAAGCCACGTAAGTGTATAAGGATGATGGCACTTGCACTAATACTGAAATAAGAGAGCCATGAATGAAGAATCTACATGCAAGCTACAGTAGAACCTCAGAGTTATGAACACCAGAGTTACAAACTGATCAGTCAACCATACACCTCGTTTGGAACTGGAGGTACGCAATCAGGCAGCAGCAGAGACCAAAAAAAAAAAGCAAATACTGTACAGTACTGTGTTAAATGTAAACTACTACAAAAATAAAGGGAAAGCAGCATTTTTCTTTGGCATAGTAAAGTTTCAAAGCTGCATTAAGTCAATGTGCAGTTGTAAACTTTAGAAAGAACAACCATAATGTTTTGTTCAGCGTTACAAACAACCTCCATTCCTGAGGTGTTGGTAACTCTGAGGTTCTACTGTACCTGGCATCAATTACACATATAGTTTTAGGGCTTATGCTGCTACTTGTCAATACTGAATACTGCAAAATGAAGTTGATTTTAATGTTGAATTTTTATCTGTTTCTTTATGCTAGTAGTAACCTTTCAATAGTAGTACACAATTTGACTTGCAGTATCTCATGCTCCTGACAACCATGCAGTTCAAACAAAACCAAAAACTCCACCAGCTTCAGGCTTTAACTGTGTGGCTTCCCCCCATGGGGTAGAAAGTGAGGAGAATCCTATCCAACTCTCCTAATTCCATGCAGCCAAAACCTCCTGGGACCCCTCTGGTGGGGGAAAAAGGGAAAGCATGTTCCAAAGGTAGAATTCTTCTCTTTCTGCAGGTACGAGATACCCTGTGCATACGTGCACAGAGTAGAGCATGAGCCCCATCAGCCTTACTCCCAGTTTCCTGCTCTAAGCACTTCACAGTACTGCCTCACAGTACAAGCTGAATATGTTAGAGTGAGGATTATATAAAATGGAAGAGAAAAATAACAGACTGGGATAAGAAGAAATGAGAATACAATATGGATGTAGAGGGAGGATACACTATTGGTAGATAAGGAATTAGGACAGAAAATAAGCTTTAGGTATATATAATTTGGGGTTGAAGGATATTCTAGCAAGGAATGACTCCATCAACATAGTATTACAGAGAGACTGGTAGGCTAATGTGATATCATAAAAACAACATGTAAAATGAAAGAACAAGAAATAATAGGCAAGAAAAAAAAACATACAACATTTATTTTGAATAGGTTTCACGATCTCTATGTTGCAGCAAGACCCAGATGGAGCGTGTATCAGTCAGCTACTAATTTATAGCAACAGTAGTGTTTTCTGCACAGTAATTAAGTCTTAGCAGAGAACAAACAAAACATATTAAACAACAAACACTAGTTATGGAGGCCATCATACACTTCCCCTCTTCAGACACTGGGAAATTCAGCTGGAGAGTACCGTGGAGTATGCCCTATCATGTGATATTTTATTTATAGGAGCACAAAAAGGGCTGTCTACTCAATACATGATATGTACTGACACAAGTTACAAGAACAAAAAATACAAAATAGCAGTTTACCACCTCCTACTGCAAAAAAAAACAAAACAAAAAAACCCCTCAACTCCCAAAGGAATTCCGCCCCCAAGCACAAAACTCCCCTCCCTGACAAAGACATAACCCTTTCTTCTGGAACAACCCAAGCAAATAGATGTGCCCTGCAGCATGTCTTCTTGGGCTAATTTGGACCACATGAGACAGCTGGTTTCAGAAGTGAAGACCCTCATGGAGAACACTCTAGACAGGGCCGAATTAACTTTTTGTGGGCCCGGCGCCAAACATATTTGTGGGCCCCCATGGGGCAAGGTGCAGGATGGTCAGTCTCCAGAGTGAAGGGCGGGCTGGGGGCAATGAGGCACAGCATGGTGGGAGCAGCCCCGCTCTGCACAGCCCAGCAGGAGGACACTGTTTACAAACCCGCAGCTGCCAGACGCACACTGGCCTGCCCAGCCCTGTGCTGCCATCATGCCCTTTCCTTGAGGGTGGGCCCTCACCACACCGCCCCCCTGCCCAGTGCCCCACCCTTATGCCCAGCGCACCCTCACCCAGAGACCTCCACCACAGATCTCTATGCCCAGCCCTCACCCCTCCCAGAGACCTCCCCTGCTGGCCTCCCACCACAACTGCACAGCACCCTGCACACTACACCATTCACCCAGCGCCCCCCACCCATAGACCTCCCCAATGCCCACCACCTTTCTCACAGTCCCACCATCACAGCTGCACAGCACCCCATATTCCTGAGGGGATTCTGCACCAAAAAATTAAAAATTCTGTGCACAGTATTTTAAAATTCTGCAAATTTTATTTGTCAATAAATAAATGTGGAGGCTCCAACATGGCAGTGGGGAGCACAGGCCACTGGTTGCATGGAGGTGGGAGATTACCCTGCAGCCTCCCCCCACACCACCCCAGGACAGGGACTCGGCAGTGAGACTGCACCCAACCCTGACACAGTACAAGGGCCAGGCCTGCCCCAGAAACACCCTGGGGCCCTGCCCCTTGTGCCAGGCGCACCAGGTGTGGGTGAGCAAGCTCAGCCTGGCAGCAGGATCTAAGTACAGAGGGACTTAGCGTGGGGGGATCCAGGTGGTGGTAAGAGGGGTGAAGGTCTCTGTGGGGCAATCTGGGTGTGGGTGTCTCAGTGGGAGATCTGGATGTACAGAAGC